GGGGGCGATATGCTGACTCTGTAAACCGCTTAGAGAGGGCTGAAAGCCCTATGAAGCGGTATATAAGTCTAACTGCTATTGCTACTATTGCTACTTTCTCTGGGTTTTGTTAGAATGGGGGGCGCCGTGAGAGCAGCATTCCAGTATTTGAGGGGCTGCCCCCAAAGGAGAGGGGGTCAAATTATTCCCCAAAGCATCCGAAGGCAGGACAACTAAAGAATGGATGGAAACTAATGTGGCAACCTGGAATTAAGGAGGGATTTCCTGACAGTGAGGGACAATTAGCCAGTGGAACAGCCTGCCACCAGAAGTTATGAATGCCCCATAACTGGAGGCTTTTCAAGAAGAAATCGGATAGTCACTGGTCTGGTATGTAGAGGTTACGATCTGATAGCGAAGATAAGAGGATGCCATGCCTGTACCCCAGGATCAGCGGTGAAATCCAGCAGTCCTGCGATTTCCGCAAGTGGTTCGGGCGAACCGGTACGAACCGGCTGAACACCCCTTCTGAAGGGGACGCTGCAACAGTCGTAAGAATGAGAAATGGTCGTTAAGTCCCCTTTTGCACCGCCGAACGGTCAGTGAACAGATGGTTTCAAGTCGAGGCCCATCTGATTTCACTGAGCGATCCTCACGTCCGTTCTTCCTCCCTACTTGGAACTAAATTGTGGATGAAAAAACAAAGACACAGCAGGCTTTGGTAGCTACACCAAAGAGATCTCGGGGCATCGCTCCCCACCGCAGAACATGTTAAGAAATGCAAACGATGCCACAGTGGCCCAGCGGCACGAGGCTTGTAATGTTGGCTGCCTTGATTACCTGCGCGGGGAATAGGCGGGCCCGTCAAGGAAGCCGAGGAAAGAACTTAAGAATATATAATATAAGAGGCGGTGGGGCAGGTAAGTGAGCGAGCATCGTTTGGTGTGTGTGTTTTTTTCCCCCAAACCGCGGCGCCATCGACAAACCGCGCGCCGGCTCCCTGCGGCCATGTCACTTCGGCTTCCATCAAAAGAGGCCGCAAACACATAGGGAAGAGGATGCATTTCAAAGCAGGTAGCGCTAACGAAATCCCCGGCCCGTTTGGTATGCAGAACAATGGCGGCCTGCTTCCATATTTAATTATGAACATATGCCTGGCATCTCACATCTTTCAACACTCCTTCCCCCCACCCCCCCGATCCAGGAATGTGGGGAGGGGGAATGAACGGGAGGAAGAGGAGAACAGCTTGTCAAGGGATTCCCCAGAAGGGAGGAAGGGAGGAGGAGGTGGTGGTGGTGGTGGATGGCCAGCATGTCAGACCAGCCCCCATAGGGTCCAACCTCCTGTAGACGGATAGGAGAGCAGGATTTTCCAACCTTGGTAGTGTTTAAGATCTGCCGCAGTTTGTTAAGTTAGTGACGGTTGTTAAGTGAACCTGGCTTTCCCATCGATTGGCAGGAGGTCGCAAAAGTTGATCCCATGGCCTTAGGGGGGGGGGTACAGCAACGGTCATAAGTACGAGTCAGTTGCCAAGGGTCTGAATTCCAATCACATAAACCAGGGGGAAGCCGCATCGGTTGTAAGTCTGAAAAACGGCCCACGAGTCCCTTTTCTCCCCCCCCCTGATTCTGTTGTTAGTTTGAACGGTCACTAAATGGACTTTTGTCAGTCGGGGGACGACTTGCACCCCAAGTGCGGCCTCCTTCGTGCAGCATCCAAGGGGTTCAAGAGCCGAGGTGGCGCAGTGGTTAAATGCAGCACTGCAGGCTACTTCAGCTGACTGCTAGATCAGCAGTTCAGCGGTTCAAATCTCACCGGCTCAGGGTTGACTCAGCCTTCCATCCTTCCGAGGTGGGTAAAATGAGGACCCGGATTGTTGTTGGGGGCGATATGCTGACTCTTTAAACCGCTTGGAGAGGGCTGAAAGCCCTATGAAGCGGTATATAAGTCTAACTGCTATTGCTATTGCTATTGTTCATGCCCTCGTTATTAAATTGCGTGGTCCTTAATTACAAGGTATGAAACCGAGCTTCTCGAGAGAGAGAAAAAAACAAAAGGAAGAAAAATCGGATTTTTCTTCTTTTGAAAAATAAAATAAAAATTCAACAGCATTCCTTCGCAGAGATGCAAATGAGCAGCCCGGAGGAAGGAAAGCAGATCAAAACCCAGGCGCGATGGATTCGGCACGCGGATGCCTACACTTCGGTTTGCGAAGTGAAATTTCTAAATACGGATGGACTCCAGATTTGCCATCTCTAAAATAATGAAGGGGAAGAAGGGCCCCGGGGAGGGGGGGGGGGGAAAGCGGGGGGGAACCTCTCACCTTAATGCTGCCTCCGATGAGATCAGGGGGCGCTTCGTCCGTTTCCAAGGCGACGTTGATGGAAGCAAAGGGACGGCTGGCCATCTGTTGCATCTCTCGGAGCAATTGCTGGGGAAGGAAAAAAAACAGGGTGTTAATATGGGGGGGGGGTCCCTGTCCCCCCCCCCGACATGTTCGAAAGTCACCGGACATTCAGGAAAAGGAGGGGAACAAGAGAAGGCAGGAGGCCTCTGTGCGCAGGATGGGAATATTTTAGTTCTTGAAACTGGCATCTTAAAGCTCTTTTTCTGAACCTTTAAGCCTGGTGGACTACAACGCCCATAATCCCTCAGCCACCTTGCAGTGATTCAGTGAACCTGGGGGATTATGGGAGTTGAAGTCCCTCTGGCTTAAAGCAGCCAAGGAACAGACAGCTTTCGATGCCAGCGATTCACTGCAGTTGTTGAGTTAGTAACACAGGTGTTAGGCGTTAAGCGAGTCTTGCCCCCACTTTATGACCATTCTTGTGACAGCTGTTAAGGGAATCACTGCAGTTGCTAACTTAAGTCGCACAGTTGCTAAGTGAATCTGGCTTCCCCGCTGGCTTTGACTTGTCAGAAGGTCACAAAATGGGATCACGTGACCCCCCCCCCCCCGTTCTTCTGGGACACTGCAACCGTCATAAATACAAGTCAGTTGCCTGAATTTTGATCCCAGGAGCACGGGGATGCTACAATAACCGTAACTGTGAAAAACAGGCACCTCCCTTTTTGAAGTACCGTTGTAAGTTTGAACAGTCACTAAATAAATTGTTATAAGTCAAGGATTACATGCACACCTAAGAAACCCTGATTAAAGCAGCATGGCTGGCTAGGGGAATTCTGGGAGTTGAAGTCCACTTCTGAGGCCTGCAGCCATTTTTTATTTTGGACACACTTTCTATTCTTCTACTGTGCATTTTCTATGGTGGGAAAATGGGGTAGTATGGAGTTAGACGATAGGTAGCCATAACAACATTCTTTCTAGAAAGCCAAGGCCATCCTTTGTCTCTGCACCTCTGCACCTGACTGGAACTGGATGGGAGGAAGCTGCCAGCATGGCAGTGGGAGATTGGACCATGGGATGGACTTGTGGGTGTGGGGGGAGAGATCTTGAACTTTCAATTGGGTGGGGAAAATCGGGAAGCTTTCAGATCCAGGTTTTCCCAGATGTGCCAACATGTCTCTCTTAATTAATTGGAACTTAGAGCAATGCTTTTGCCTTGGACTCTGATTTA